ACACCAGTCCATTGCTCCGTAGCACTCATAAATGTATTGGGAGAAAGGAGTGTGAACAAAGCAGGAGACATGATTTAAATCCCTGTATAAATCCATGGTTTATCCATTCTCAAATGTTTCTAGTAAGTGAGTTCTAGTTTCCTTATCTCATAAAACTATAGGAGAACCAGAAAAGTCAGAAGAGGTGGCAAAGATGATTGCAGGTAAGGAGTGTTTTCCCTTCTGTTAAATACATGTGGATTCATCAGCCTAGAAGAGAGCAAGAGCTGAAAAGTATCTGGTGGCACAGAGGGTGTGTACGGGGACCCCTGACTGGGAGAAAGATCCATCAGATGAAGCAAGGAGGTGGCAGGGAAAACCCCCAATGCAACTTGCATCTCATGCACTCATGTGGAGTCAGGGTGTGGGGCTGCCTGTTGTGTGCTGCTGCTGTTGCGTGTGGTTTGCAAGGAAAAAGCCTTTATGCCACAGTGCTCATCACCTCTGGCTTAGGAAGGATCTGACCTAAGTCTAGAAATGCATCACTGTTGCCTTGCCCCATTCTTGTGCTTTTCCTGAGGTATCTGCTCTTAATCACTGTCTCTTCTATGAAACCTTTAAATATTTGTAGGTGATTATGCCTCATCTCCTCAGCTTCTGTTTTTAAGCTTCTGCTTGTTCAGTCTGTGCCCCTAAAAAACAGTCCCTGAGCTCTTTCTAACTAGTTTTGTAACCCACAGGTTTCTGAACTGTGGTAGCAAGACCTTGATACAATATTCTGTCTTCTGAGACTCATACAATATTATTTAATATTAGGACAAACCAGTCAATACTTAATAATACTGATAATATATTCTCTTGGGGGGACAACTTCCCACCCTCATCCCTCCCAACTCAATTTGTCCACATCCATTGACTTTCCATTGTCTTCATCCTCCTTTTCTTGTCCTTGTGATGTGCTGGCAATCCTCTCCTGTCTCTGCACTGTCTAGATATTTAGTCTCTTAATCAGTCTTAGCAGTGTGTCCACATATTCATGTAGTGGTTTCATCTGATTGTCACTTGGCGGCCTCTGGAGCTGCTCCTAACAGTTGCTTCGGGAATTAAACTCTTTCTGGTTGCAGTAAAAATTAGTCTAATGAAGTTTCTCTGTGTAGTAGAGTTGAAAGTGATTTGAAACTGTTTCAAACAGACAAAAGGCAAATATTTGCTGTGATGCCGAACGGGTTTGAGGCACATGAGTAATCACTGTGATTGATGCTTATTCAAAGGGAGGGCATCCTCACTCTGCCTCCTGGCAGATACTCGAAGATACTCCAGCTTAAGGGCAGGCATATTTGTTGGTTTGGGAATGTAAACTATCCGAGCGTGAAACTGAAAGTATCTGCGAAGTAGCTTAAGTGCACCGGTAGCATCCAGCGTGGCACTGGTTGCTCTTAATATCTTGCTTATTTTCACAAACCAGCACCTCACAGTTTCTGAGCGGACAACTGCTGTGAGGACGTAACCTCTTGATTTCAAAGGAGCCATCGTTTTGCTGGTGCCTCTGTGGTTAATATAAGAAAGGTGTCTTGCCATAAACTTTTTCCGAGGTATTCAGCAAGGTTGGAAAGGGGTCGGCCCAGGCAGGAAGCCCTTGTCTGTGCTATAAAGAAAATAGCAAGCAACAAAATGAAAGCATCAAAGGGCCAACAGGATGTGGTCCCAGGAGTCCTCTCTGGCATGTTAGTCCTTCTTGAAAGTTAGCATTGAGTGAAGAGTGACCTTAAAACTCGCTTCATTCAAACAGACGGGGCTCAAGTTTAAAGTTCAAGGCATTTTGTTTTTTCACCTGTTTCCTACAGTTTTAAGAAACTTCTGAAGAATTAATGTGTAACTATATCTGGTCACCGAGCCAATGCACAGAATTTTTCTCAAGGGAAAATAATGTTACTGTATGGAGCAAGAGAAATGGATACTTTCTGAGTTGGGAGAAAAAGTTTCAACAAAATAAAACCCAAAACCACTGTTACGATGATCACAAACAGCCATGGAGCCGGGTGGTGCATCTCCTATTTCTCGTTTCATTTTCAAAAGAAGCTTGTGGTATCCCGTAACTCTCTGAATCGTGGTGAAACAATGTTTTTTGTCAAAGCTGCTGCTGCTTGGGAAGAGAGGTCTTGTTTTAGATACAGCCTGGGAGCAAAGAGCCCATTTGCAGCAGCTCAGCTTCATCTGTGAGTGCATGTTGACTGAGCCAGCAATTGGCCCCATGGCCATCCATCCCTCTCTTAGTGCTCTGGAACTGTTGGACCTCAAGAGGAAAAACTAAAGCCCTGACCTAAAATTCACATCAGTAGGCAAGGACAGACGGGGATACAGTGATGCAGCCCTACCACCACTAATGCCAAGCAGCAACCCAGGCTGCTGGCTGATGCCATTACAAGCCACTTTTCACCCAACAGCATATTGCACCTGCATGGTCCTGAAATAGTCACTTTATTTGCCTCTCATGTAAGAAAGCAACTAATAACTGACCTGTGAGCAGTTCGGCAGGTTGCCTTTCATAGCTGAAAGAAATAGTTTGAAGAGATGATGTAGAGATTTCACTTGTATTTCCCCATGCCATTCAATTTTAATGATTCTGGCATGAATATTTCATTAAAGTACTTTCTGAATGGGTTTGTTCTTTCCTAGCAGCTAATAGTCAGTATAGAGTCTGGGATGGATTTTGTTTGGTTTTTGGTGGGCTTTCTTTTCCTCTTAGGTGGTTTACTGTAGATAAGAAGTGTCAAACTGGATTACGTGAGAAAAGTCAACTTCGTTTTGGTGATTCAGTGAAGGGATGCTGTCTATAACTCTTTTCAGCTGCTTAGTGGAAGTCTGTGAAATTACCCTCATAAAATTCTGCTCTTTACTCTCCTGCCACAAGGTGGCTAAAAAGTTTTCGAAAGCCCATGATATGCTGGAAATGATACTAACACATCTAACAGCCCTTCTGCAACTCAACACGCGGCACACAGCAGACCAGATTTATTGCACAGAAAACTGTGTATGTCTTATTTATATGAAGCAGCATTCACAAGATGTTTTTACCAAGTTTATTTCAATCACTCCTCAGCTGGGGTTGGCTGGGCTTGGCTTTGTGGCTTTTTAATAGAAGTCCTTGTGTCCAGCCCACCGCGTGCGAGCAGCCGGGCTGCTGTGGATCACAGCGGTGTGACGGGGAGCTCAACATCTGCCTGCCTATGAAGCCACAGCTCTACCGATACCTCAGCCTTGTGGCTTTACAGTGACTGTGGCTGAAATGTCAGATTGCCACCCCATCTCCATTTGTACTGCCTGCTGAATCCAGCTGCTCAAATGCTGTATCAGAAACATTGATCCAAACTGGGGTTAGTAAGTTCTTTTTTGGTGGTGATGGTGGTGGTGAGTTTTTTGGGTCCTGCCCAAGGATGACGGGTTGTCTCTTCAAATCAGTAATGGTTCCAAATAGCGGTCTGCTGCACTATCAGACGTGTACTTCGTTTTCACGAATTTCAGGAGTGGCAACACTCTTCCCTGTAAACTTTTTGGAAGCTTATTTCCAGATTTACAGTAGGGATGGAGATTTTGTTTAATGGAAATGAAGCGTATCTTTTTCTTACAGATGCACCACTCACTGTTGAGCTTTCTATGTGCATTTTAGGTTTCCCATTTTATTTTTTAACTTATTAACTCTGACAAGTAACCTCTTGGTAGTGAACAATTCATTTTTCTGATTCAAAGTGAACACGAGTGCCCTAATCCCCTAATGGGAATTAATTGCATGTTTCAGTGCTTAACTCTGATCCTTTCTCAATCCCCACTGGGACAAGTTTCTTCCTGAAGGATCTGTGTTTGTTATTCAAAACACAATATGAAAGGTAATGATTTTTCTTATAAAAGGGAGTCAAAAGGACTGAATATTAATGCTCTTTTTATTGTGAGGGAATGAGCTACATCCAAAAAAAAACTTGCTTATGTCATGAAGGATAAATTACGCTGAAGTATATCTGATAAAATACAGGGAGGAAATCAGTGCAGTCTTTTTTCCTGAAGTGAAAGCAGTTTGCCAGTAAATAAAGACACAAACCATTTTTGCTTGGAAAACTATTCTGTTACAGAGAAAACCTGTTTACTTCATCAAGGGGGAAGTTGCTTTGCTACTGAGGATTTTCAATGACACTCTCTTGGCCAGCAATGTACCCTTTTGGATGCCCAACCTGATTTGACAGTTTACTAAAATAAGAGCAAATAGGAGGAAATACATGCAGTTTCTTTTCCTGGTCTGTTTTAAAAGATTTTTTCAAACTTGAAATTCACTGTTCAATGACCCTCTTTCCAAAAGGAGGTGGAGGTGCTCCTCTGCTGTTGGGTGTCTGGCCCAGCCAGCCAGCTGTGGCTGGGGCAGCTCTGCCCAGTAGTCGGTGATGGAGGGCAAAACGTAGGAAACCATCAAACAGTGCAAGAACTGCCTCTGCCCTTCAGAAACGATAGGGGATAAACGGAGCACAGCATGAAAAATAACCCAGGAACGATGACGGTATCTTTTCCCCCCTTTACCTTTCAGTAAAGCCAGCCTTTTAGCCCATTTAAACACCAGGTTAAACTTGCTTTTGTGTGTTGCTGAGCATTACACCACACACTTCCTGCAGCACAGCTCTGTCATGGTGCAAGAGAGAAAAATGAAGAAAGGTTTAGAGCTTTACCAAGACTGAGGTATGCACTGGCTGATGTTGAGGATTCCTTAAGAGGAACCATGGGCTGTAATGTGACTACAGAAAAGAACTGCAAGGCTGACTTGCCGCTGGTATCTAGTTTTCAGTGTTAGATCTCTTGACTGAAAAGTTTCAAGAGATAATTGGATTTAGTATGATATTTAAGTGTGGTTTAGGACTACAAGGCCCCCTTTGCGCACACCCAAACAGTCTTTGTGTGTACAATGCATCTTGGTGTGGGTGAGGTTCTCCAGAACGCTGGCCAGTGAGGCTGTGTGGATAACATACACCTTTGTCTTTCAGCTGCTTTTGCAGGTACGATGGCTCGTGTCTTTGTCTATGGCACGCTTAAGAAGGGCCAGCCCAACTACAAGCACATGATCAACACAGCCAAGGGGCTAGCGAAATTCCAAGGACGGGGCCGCACAGTGGAGAAGTACCCGCTGGTGATTGCAGGCAAATACAACATTCCTTACATGCTGAACATCCCGGGAACAGGACACCACATCACTGGGGAGATTTACTCGGTTGACGACCAGATGCTGCAGTTCCTGGATGAGTTTGAAGGCTGTCCAGACATGTACCAGCGTACCCTGATGAGAATCGAGGTGGTGGAGTGGGAAGGGAAGGGTGGTGTGGGCGAGGCACGGGCAGCTGCTGAGGGCATTATAGAGTGCTTTGTGTACAGCACAACGACATATCCGCCCGAGTGGGTCGGCCTCCCCTACCATGACAGTTACGACTCTTCAGGGAAACACGGCCTCTCCTACGTCCTACGTGAAAGCCGGGATTAAACACAGGAGGTGATGCAGCCCGCCTGAAGACATAGTACTAAGCACGTGTTGATCAGTAACCTTTCCAGGAAAGCTGTAATACCTTGTCATTAAAATGCAGGATCTCTTGTAACCTTCCCAACCCAGGAGCCTTGGCGCTAGATTTGAAGTCTTGTAGACCCACAGATGGAGACTCCTACCTGGCTAAGCCCGTGTCCTCTTCACCACCGCTAACCTGCGAGTAACTGGGTTTGCATGAGGTGTAAAATAACTATCTGTGCACATCGGTTTTGTGGTCTAACTGTAAATTCTTAATTCCCTCCCCTTTTGCCTCAGTGCTTTGACAAATGTTCTTGGGTAGTTCTCCAAGGTGGGTGGAATAACAATGATACGATTGCACTAACAGCTGAAACTGATTTTAAAAAGTCATGTCTGCAAGCAAACTAAAGCACAACTCATGTTTAATGTTGACTTGTAATGGTGTTTAGTAGGTTACTGAATGTAAACCAGGAGAGATGACAATATAGGTACTATGCACTTCAAGACAAATACGAAATGGCTGGAGAAATAGAGAACATTTAAAGACTATTCTTACTCTGTATTGCAATGTTCTTCTGAACTGGAAAGGAGTATTTTTAAAACCTGTTTAGTTTTATAAGGTACTGTGAAAAAGTACTAAGAGCATATAAGAAAATTACATTTAAAATCATATTTTAAATTTAGCATCCTAAGCACTTTAGGTACCACTTCAGTTCAGAGTGACTGTAGGGGTTGGGGAGGTGGGGGTGGGTGGAGGGGTGTTGGGGACCAGGAAAAGCAAACCTATTTTCAGCTGCCCATCATGCTATAGCAGATGCAGCTGTTGCAAACATTTAACTATCAAGGTGACTTTTGACAAGCACTTTAATGCAGAACTTACTTGCAACCATATGCAAACTGCATTTCCTACCAAGGGAAAGATTTTCTGTGCATGATATAAAACATCCAAAGGACCTGTATGGTGATTATTGCAACATTTAAACAGGGGAAAAAAAAGATGGAAAGATGACTGTTGTCCCCCTGACCCAACCAACTGTGCTGGTTTCTGTACAATCTGGGGAAATTGTAGCTTTCTGTTGTTACACTCTTGTGCCTTGTATTTTCCTTCAACCGCAGTGTTTGGTACATACAGATTGTGGAGTATACAAAGCTGCCAAAAGGATGTGAGCAGGGAATGCATGCCATGCAGTGAGCCAAAGTACAATGAAATGTACTAAGGATATCATTAAGAACACTACTGTACTTTTGCTTGACTGCCAGTAGCCCTGTGATGGCCAATAAGGTCCGGGATAAGGAATCAGCCTGAACTTTATCAGTAATAGGCACTGCTGCATCTCATTTAAGTAACAGACAGAAAGCTTGTGTTGTTGCAGTAACAACTTAAGCAATTTTAAGGTAGAATACTTGTGTCTCTTCGCAATACTTGGGTTTTGTTTAGGGCAACCTGCAGAAGCTGAACTGTGCTCCTTTTGGAAAGGGCAAGATGGCATTAAGGAGATTGGTAGGAAGATCTACAGGGTGTCTGCCTCAGTTTCTCCTACTGCAAAAGCATTAATTTTCCTGAAGGGCAGGTACTACTCACTCTTCCGTACTCACCTTGATGGGTTTTGTGACCTAACAAAGCAAGTCCCTGCACTACGTTATTCCCCCTTGGCCGTGTGGTACTGTTCACAGTGTCTCAATAATGTGCAAGATGTTTCTTCAGTCAGAAGTTCCAAGCAGAATCACAAATGTTCCTGGTTATACCTAAATCACCAGCCCTGTCACAGACTGGTTTTGTCCTTCTGGTAAGGCCCAGGTGCCTCTGGCCAGAGGGGGTTTCTCTGGGAAGCATCATGACTCTGCACAGCTGAAGCAAGGAAATGAGAGCAGGAGGTACGTTAAAAAAACAGCTGTAGAAGGTGAGACCAAAGGCAGGAGCAGCCCAGTGTCCTGGCCCAGCATGGGCAGCAGCAGAGGCCTAGGCAAGAGCACAGGGACAGAGACGATGCTTACAATGTGCAGGGATTGCAGAGGTATCACTACATCTAGTGAGCTGCAGCTGCTGAATTACTGAGCTAAATCAATTAATGGAAGAAAAAGACTTTCTTAACCACACGCTAACATTTTGAACCCAGTAAACTTCTGGTATCTTCACCATCCTGTGTTATGGAGCTCCTGAGTGAGCAGTAAAAAAAAACAACCCATGTTTTCTTACCTGTTCTGACCAAGTCACCAGCCCTCTCACTTCTGTTTAAGTCAAGTATTCAATCTTCCTCCTCTGCAGGCCATCTCTGGTTTCCCACACTGGATACACTGCTCTTCCAGCTGGATACTGTCTTGTATTATGACCAGTTCTAGTTCTTCACACAGTCTTTAGTAAGAGCCTCTGCACAATAAAAGATCAGGCACTTGGTCTTCCTTTCCTGTTTAGGAGGAAGGTTGACCAGAGGGACAGCAAATGCATCCAGCTCTACCTTGGGGTGGCTAAGGGAATTCAAAGACAGTGTCAGCTCCTTCTGTAAAGACTTGCATCGAATAATCATAGAATCATAGAATAGTTAGAGTTGGAAATGACCTTAAGATCATCTAGTTCCAACCCTCATGCCATGGGCAGGGACACCTAACAACAGACCATGTCGCCCAATGCTCTGTCCAACCTGGCTTTGAATACTGCCAAGGATGGAGCATTCACAACTTCCCTGGGCAACCCATTCCAGTGCCTCACCACCCTCACAGTAAAGAACTTCTTCCTTATATCTAAGTTTAAACCTATTAAACTTAGATATATACTTAGATATAAACTTAGACCTATAAACTATATCTAAGTTTAAACCCATTACCCCTTGTCCTACCACTACAGGCCCTGATGAAGAGTCCCTCTCCAGCCTCCTTGTAGGCCCCCTTCAGATACTGGAAGGCTGCTGTGAGGTCTCCACACAGCCTCTACTCCAATCAATAGAAAAAGATAAAGGAGGGGGGGGTGGTAGGGATCTGAGTATGGAGCCAACTGTAAATGAAAATACACAGGGAAAGTTGGCACTAGCAAAATAAAACGTCCAACGTGTGAGTCAAATCTAGTTTATACAAAGGCTTGTAACAGTAAACCTGATCAGAATTTAGAGCATTGGCTGTACTTGCTCAGCACTTACATAGAGTGTAGGAAAGCTGCTCAGTTCACTTGGTGGTTATTTTTTCACTCCCACCAACCATTCTGTACTGTTTGGCTGGGGCCTCAAACCAGTGATGTTACCACTGAGAAGACAAATCGGATTTGGGCTTTTGTTATGTTTTCTTTTTTTAGAAAGAGGCTTTTCCTGTTTTAAAGCAGAAATGGTATTTTATTGATTTTATCTGATCCTGAAAAAATCAAAGAATTACAAAGGTTATGTACAAGTATTTCTGGAAGTAAAAATCTGGGATCTGTTGCCAAGGTTTAACATCTGTGTTTGCTGTCTTAACCACTGATTCAATAAATATGTATGTATAAAACCTTGTGCGTAGGACTGTCCATTTTCTGTGTTGAATTATCTTAATCTTACTTTGTGGGTGAAAATAATAAAGGCTTAGCTAATTCAACACTGTGGAGGCAACACGTCATTCCAGTTCCACCAGCAGATCTCCTTCTCCAACGGTATCACCAGCTTTGCAGTGCACAGCTTTCACCTGCGGTACAGAAACAGGAACAATTTCAAACTTCCCTCAGTAGCATGGTTGAATAAATGGTTTGGTTGACATTGCTCATATAGAGCATTGACATTACCCTGCATGCACAGGGTAAGTGGCCACTGCGACATTATGACCGTCATAGGGATCGCAGATGCCCGTATGTTGGAAGGGCCTCAAGAGGTTGACATCTCAACCTCTAGTGTTCAGAGTCCAGCTGAGCTTTGAGTATCTCTGAGAATGGAGACTCCACAACCTTCTCCAGTGCTTGGCCAACTCATGTCAAACTCCATCAAGGGATTTAGGCATCTACCACTAGCTGGTTTTCTTATGACTTGGGAGCTGGAAGACCTGAATGTCAGGTGGAGATGGCACTTAAAAATTACAAGGTACCCTTCTTCCACCTGTTTGCACTACTGTTCGTTTATGACTGAAGCTTAAAATCCTTTATTCGAGGACAGGCTGACTCTTCAACACTCACACTTGTGTTTCAATTAAATATTCCAGTATTTCTTGCATTACAGATTTTAAATACAATTGAATTTTGGGACCAAAACCATGAAGTGGGAGTCCTTCAATCCCTGGAGCACTGGGATAGATTGATTCAAACTGAACCAGGATCCTTTAACATAACTGAACTTGGCAAAGGCCCACCACTGTCAAATAAATGCAGCTACATCTGAAGACAACTTACATACTCATGTGCAGATTCCTGAATTTTAAAACAGGAAAATCTTACACTATTCCCTCATTTCCTCTATAAAAGGCTGCAACATGTTTGAACTCCCTTTCAGCACACTGGAGCTCCAGAAGTTACTTGAAGCTGTATAACAGACTTTACTTGCAATATTAATTCAAAGCTCACACTGAAATGCCCGAATCCTTGTTCAAAACCTTGTTCAGCAGTTAGCTCCGTTTAGTCACCCAAACATTACCTTGGACTCCTAAAAGAAACCTGGAGGATACCCAAAATACCAGGCTAATATTCCCCATGTCCAAGTTAGTTTGATAGCCTAAAGCCACATGAGCTGTAAGCGTATCTCTGGCTCTGTAGCATACTCATAGCATTACTCAAGAAATGAAGCTGGATACTGTACCTGGGCAAAGGCATGATGTACAAAAAAGGGCTTTATTTCTACATCAACAGTAGGCAGCCTACCTGATTCCTCAGCAGTGTGGAAAATATACTACTTCTTTCATTTCTTTACCTACAAAGCCAATGTTCAGCAAACCCTGTGGCTGACCAGTGCTTCAAACTCCCCAGTGGTTTGTGACATTCCTTGCTCTGACCCACGCACAGCTGTCCCGGAGGAGACTGGAGGCACAACAGTCCCTCCTCATCTTTCCCTCACTTTTAAACCACCTGCAGCTGGATTGAACTCAAAGTAGACAAAAACAAAGCACTTTTCTCACAATTATAAACAGGAAGATGGGGTTTGATGCAGAAAAGGAATTCAGCCAGGAATGAAAATGGGGACAGCTTCCAGCTGAAGACAAAGGAACTGAGTTTCAAAACATGGTTTCAGGGCATCAAAATGTAGACTACCAGCCAGTGCCAAACAACCCATTCCTGTGGAGGAGCCAAGTTATTTTGGCACTCAGAGTCATGACTTTGCACTGCAAAATGGGATGAATCCTGTTTAGCAGCTTCATCTCTACACAGCCCAAAACTTGTTTGCCTTTTCAAATTCTTAAAATTCTAAAGAATCAAATTATTGTTAAAATGCAGACACCAAGGGGACACTGCAAGGTGCATATTGGGCCTACTGAATGGCCTGTGCACCATTCACATCCCATTTTGAAGGATTAATAGTCCAAACATGGGGTTTACATGGCATCCGTATAGAACGAGTGGGTGATATTTATTAATGGGAGAAGTACAAGCAGAATTTTAAGGAACAGGTCC